CCGACCATTGAAAAATCCCTTCTCCTAAATTATACACTATTCAAAAAAAGTTAAAAGTTAATTTTGATCCCTCAATTTTATAGGTTTGCACTTTTTTGGTCCCTTAATTATTTTTTACATTTTTTATCCCTTACCTCTAAGAACTACACAATTTTGGCCATTTGTTAATTAAGTGCCAACGTGGCCATTAAATTTGTCCAAGATGGCATTTTTTTGATGATGTGGCGATAATATAATAGACAATCGGCTTAAATGGACAAAAAAAAAAGTCAAATATTATTTCCAAACTCATTATAATTCAATGTTTTTGAACCCGGCCCGGTGGCTGGCCCGTTTTGACCACCGGGTCCGGGTCAACCAGTTGAACCGGTTCACCCAACCGGTTGAACCGATTAACTAAAAAATTTTTTTTTTTGACATTTTTAATGAATTTTATTGTTGTAGGTTAGTTTTACTCTATTTTTAAGAAATAATCCAATTATGCTCAAAATGATGATGAGGAATAGAAGGCGGGCAGCGAAGGAGAAGAAGTTCTGCTTTGCTGCTTCTATTGAGTGAATGATGAGGAAGATTCTGATTTTCGTTGCTGCTTCTGTTCGGTGGAGCAGAGAGAAGAAAGGCACCGACAGAGGAGATGAGGAAGAGAAGGAGGGCAGCAATGGAGGAGATGGTATGTTCTGTAACAGTGTGACTTTTGTTTTGCTTTGCTGTTTCAGTCCAATGAGGAAGGAGGAGGTGATCGGCAGTCAACAGAGGAGATGAGGAGGAGGTGCTCAGTAGAGGAGAGAAACCACTTTCCCGAAGACGATCTGTTCTGTTTTGAGCCAATCAGATGAGGTAGATGGTGAAGATCGGTGGAAGAGAAGAAGTGCAGTGACACAGGAGAAGATTGGCGAATGATCGGTGGAAGATAAATCGGCGGACGATCGGCGAAGAGAAGATCGGCGGAGTGGCGGACGATCGGTGGAAGACCCTTCTGCAGTTCTGTTGGTACTTGGTTCCTCCTGAATTTGGGTTTTGCAATTTGTTTCCA